AGCCTTCAGTCTTTTAATAGAACCATCAGTTCAATGAAGTAGTTCAAAGAACACTCTAGTGATGTTAAATTTGGAGGAAGAAGGAGCAAATGAAAATGTTAAAATTTCACACTTTATTTTTAAAGCAATATTGTTAGAGAAGAGGTAGTTTAATAAAGGAAAACTAGCTTTTATTGAACGTAAGAATGATATCAAAATGCCATTTTTATCATAGACCTATCTCATGGATATATTTCTTATTATTATCATATATGGGCATGATAATTTACATATATTGATATGTCATAGAAATATGACATATTTTCTTACTGTCTTGCAATAATCCATATCTAATGGACATCAAAATAAAAATGAACACCATACTTTAAATTGGGGGGAAATGTTTCACTTGTTTTCTTCAAATGTTTCTCTTGCTTTTCCTGCCTTACCCACTTTAGATATGTTTTCATTCCATTTCTTGGTTGCCTTTCTTTTGCTAACAGCACAGCTGTAACAGTTGTTTAATGCATATTTTTTTTCTTATATCCAAAAGTTAAGAACTTTGAGCCAGTAATTTATTGATGAAAAGAGAGCCCAGTCATCTACCTATCCAGCTTAAAATAGACTAAGTGAGGTTTAGGATAAAACAAGAAGCATCAGGAGCAGCAAACAACAAAGGAAACTGTTTTCTTCCCTCCTTTCCTGCCCCTCAACATTCCTTGGTTTCTACAGATATATTGTTCATTTCTACAGATATATTGTTCAAAGAGGCATTCTGTTTTTGCTGAAAGCTTACAATTTCAGCAAAAACGAAGAAGGAGGCGCCTGCTGTTATTGGGCAAAGAAGGTATTATTTATTAAACTTGGCTGCAACTCATGCCAAAAGAATTTGCAGAGATCTAATGATTCCTTTGAAGCAATTTATAGGCAATTTTCAGTCTATAACTTAGAAGATATTTTGAGTATTAGTATTAATAAGATTATTTCATGAATAACATTAATTTTATTGACTAGGTGGCATCTTATAAATTAGAGTCTTATTAATGCAGTGTGTATATAGACACATAGCTTTTTCTCTTATCACGGATTTGATAGAATCTCTACTAGGTATGTTTCCAAGGATGGTAGAAAATTTTTATGAATCATAAACATCTTTCAAAGCTGCCTCACACACTGCTGGTGTGCTCAGTCACTGTTTAGTTTCATCTCTTTGCAACAATACCTTCCGTCTTTGGAATATCCTTTGGAATTATTATATTTGTAATATACTCTTTCCTGTCACAGAACTTTTTTCAAAATTCACAATCATTTGCTGAAGGTATATAACCAGTAGCTATGCTCCAAAGGGTTGAAAGAGGGGTCTGAGACATATTTAAAAAAATCTTCTCAAGTGATTTTTAAAATTAGGTGGCACTATTCCAGAGGAGGGAATTATGCATGTCTTGGGGTACCAGGGATCAAGCCTAGGGTCTCAAAATTGTCAAGTACATGCTCTACCATGGGGTGATCCTCTGTAAATATTCCTGATCCTTTTAGAGCAGTGATTCTTCTTCCCTCTTTTATGTTTTTAAAGAAATTCTATTAAAAGAGTCAAGAGAAAAGGTAATGCATTCAAGAGAGAATGTGGGCTTCTCTAGAGAAGAGAACTCTCTGAGGAAAAAGGAAGGAATTATACACCAAGCTCAGATGCAGGTGATTCCAATGGAATGCACCAAAAGAGGTGGTTCTTAGATCTGATGACTACTTAGGTTGCTTCAATAAAAACAAAAATACCTCCTGGTTTCTGGATCCAATGTCAGATCAACATGGTTGAGACCTTGGGTGGCCTGGTCTTGGTATCAGTTTTTCATGCACCTCTGAGATTGAGTTTCAATGATCTTGGACAATATTCAAGTGCATGTTAAAATAGCTTCTAGAAATATAAATTTGGTAAAGTATTTTTTTTTACCTCAGTGCTTCCCTAAGGTTAAAGAGATTACATTCAAGTAAGTATTAAAATTTTACCAGGAGGCAGGGATCACATGAAGTCAATTTAAAGGTCAATTATTAATTTGATAATCAGAATTTATGAAATGGAATACGTCAATCTCTAAACTCATTTATGAACTTTATCAACACTCTTTGGACCTTTAAATAATATAGAATTCACTTGGATAATTGATTAGCAATGGACTATGACAGGCAGATAGAAAGCAAATGATCAGGGAAAACAAGTAGAAAGCTAGATTTGAGTAAAAATGATGGTCATGAACAGTCTTCATTATGTACTTTCTTTTTGCTTCCAGAAAAGATCAGCACAGGTGTATTTACCTAGGAGATCTCCAGCGCAGTGATTCTTAATTGTATACCCCAGATTTTGGAAAGTGTTTTGAGTCAGGTTCTGCTCCAGATAACGGTACAGAAATGATGGCTGAACATTATGCCTCTTGATTTCTGGGAGTTAAGCTTTATTCTTTTCATGAGGTGTATAGTTGAGGAAGATCCAGTACCAGATGGTAAAGTTGGCTAGGAGTGGTTTTCTCACCTACACTTGGCAGCTCTACTCGGATGTGTTGCTTTCAATGCCTGAGACTTTCAGTCTATACTATTTAAAATGATCATTGGAAAGCTTTAGGTGGTATAGATGCAATGACACAACTCATTAAAGGTCCTATAACGACGAGGATCTGACATCTGTGCTGAAAAAGAACTGGATGCTTTTTTTTTCTTTTTTGAGTGATAATGGACTGAAGTGGCATGTTATTTCTGCATACACTACCAAAATTCCTTACCTTCATCAGATATGTCATTTCTAGAGGAATTTTTGACCTGGAGAAATAGATCATAAGTGAATCAGCTACCCATTCAAAGATGGCATGCTTTTAAATGGGTTCCCTTTTCCCCAGAGTTTAGGCAAGAATTTTATTTGATAACTGACTCATTATTAAATGATCATCAGAATAGCCATCATGGTTTGACTAATAATGTGCTCAGATCCTGCATGTATTAACTGTTCAGCAGCTCTTTCCTTATTTCCATTTCATTGGGGAGGGTCCTGAGAGTTTAAGGAACTTACCAAAGACCCCCAGACTCCAAAGGGAAAGAGCTAGTATTCTGCTAGCTGCCCGGGTCTTCTGCTGGGTCTCTGTGCCTCTTGCTATCAATCGTTACTGATGCACAGGAGTATAATTAATTTTCATTTCTCTAAATTGCTCATTGCCATTTCCCTGTAGTTAAAAAGTGTCTCTATATTTTACTATTTAAATGTAAGAAATGTAAGGAACAATCATCCTTCAAGGTTGCACCTTATCCAAAGAATCTGTTGTATGAGAGAGTAATACCCAAATTCTTTAGACACATTTCTGGGTGCCTTGGTTTTAGGTGTTTTAAAGAATGCATGATTCTTTTTATAAGCGATTTTAATGAACTTAGGAAATATTAAGAGACCAAATTGAAATGTGTTCATTCTAAATTTGGCCTGGCTTCTCACAGCTGCAGAAATTCATTTTCACCTCATTCCCCATCCCCCTTCCCACAGTCCTAAAGCACAGCCCCCCTGGGAGTCCCCCCTATTTCCCAAAGGAAATATTTCATTCATATAATGTCTTCTTTGTAATCAACACTGAGAAATGTCACTTTGATTAAACACAACTCTGAATGACTAAGACCACAGTACAATAAATTCTCCAGAGCTATCTTTCAGAACAACTGATTGCTCTCCAGTCTTAATCCTCCAGAGTCTTATTTAATCAAAATGATGGTGCTAATTAAGGATTAAAACCTTCGAATAGAATGAAAAAAGAAGGATTTTTCTTTCTCCTTTGGGCAGGTCAAGGAGGCAAAATTTGTTATAAGGAAGTAAAGAATATCTTCCACCTTTGATTAAAGTATGTTATTTTCTCATGTTTGGATGAAATCCAAAACAGGTCTGAATGCTTTATAATATTAATGTAATTGGAGGGAAAAAGAGAGAAAGAGAAAGAGAAATATAAAAAGAGGAAGAAATAACATGACACTCTTGGATAGCGGCGTCTACCTAGGTAAGATTTATTCTGAAACTTTTTCACTGAATGCTTTTCATATTAATTTTCTATAGGCATGTAGTTGGATGCTATCTGTGCACTGCTCTTATCTCTTGCGAATATTGATAGAAATATAGAAAATATTTTTTAAATGTTGGTAACCCATTTGACAAGAACAGAGGGGAAAAAAGACAATGGATTTTATAGCTGTTTGATATTCACTGATGATCAACAATAAAACCAGAAAACTTCTCAAATAAATACTGAAATGCTTTAGTATGTGTTCATTATTTTCTTAAATTTGTATTTGGTAATAAAAATTGGTTTCTTAGGGACACAAAAAGCCTTAAGAAAGCTTCACGATTCACAGAAAGTTGGTTGGGATTTTATGGAATAAACACTTGCGTGTCAAGGGTGCAGGGATGAGAGCATTGAAGTTTGCTATTTTCAGCACTTTGTTAAATGCTTAATATCCTTTTCCTCTTCCCTTTGTCCTGGTTTTATGGCTTGTAACTCCAACCCTATTGGTCTAGTACAAGGTATAGATAACAGAACAGCTCTGGTCACCTACTTGGTACCAGTTTCTCTGCCAATAAGTTTTTCTATCGACATTCTCACCACCTGAAATAAAACCTTAGAAGAGATATTATTATTATAAACCCACAGAAATCACTCAACCAAAACCTACAGAAAATGTATCAAGTCAGGTAGAGTTGGAACTCCTCCAGGTCTACTTGGCTCCAAAGCCACATTTCACTCACTGTGACAAGCCATGGCACAACTTGATGAGTTAAAGGAGATAGTCACTGGTGTGTCTACGAAGGGACTGGGAAGTGGTGTTGGTCTTTCCTTGCCTCGTGTTCTGCAGAATGTCTCATCAGAGGCATTGCCACTTTGTCTCTTACCCTGGCCAATTAATGTCAAAGATTGTCCTGCTTCCATCCAAGTGGAATTTGAGAGCAAACAATGAGAAATCTTTCAAAGGAAGGAGGGAAAAAAATGAACAAATTTCTCTCTTACCAGGAACAAAAAGCACTTGGTCTCTGGGGTCCACATTCCTGAAGGCTGTAAGTACCCAGTGGACAGAGGGTTCTTATTCCGCCAATGCCGAGGCTGATGGCCAACAGTGCTCCATAGAACAGCCTTGTCTGCTCCTGAGTGGGGAGGTTGTTCGTTGTATGGTAAAGACCTATGGAGAAATGCCCCAAGGGAAAGGCAATCATAGATAATAGTGCTGAGCCTGTGGATAGAGAAGAAAAGTGGTAAAATACCACATAGACCAATTCACCAACAAACCACACCATAAATAACTTTCCTCTCAATAGGGCCTCACTCTGTGATATGACTGAAGTATTTGCTAATTATAGCCACTCTTAAAGATTGCGGGAGTTTTCCAAATGTGAAAACATCTGTATTCTGTGTTTTAACTAATCCAAGAGTCCTTGATTTCCCCTACCCCTGGAGTTAGCACTTCCTTTCCTCTCAGAATGTATAGGCAAATCATGTCCATTTTAACTCATTAAAACAATTCAGAAATCCATCATCTAAGAAACCAAGGTTGCTTGTAATTAACCGCACCCCCAGAGAAAGTCACTGTTAATAAGATATTTGTGCTTAATCAACAGTGATAGAAAATGCAGTGATCTCAGACATCTCAGAAGCCTGTTGGAGAAAACTTGATAAGAACAATAGTTCTTGTCATGAGATTTGCCTTTCCTAGTTCTCTGTTCTTTAAATGACCTTCTCAGTTTTGTTTTTGTGTGTGTGTGTGTGTGAAGAAAACAACTGCCACCCCTCCCCCTCCCCATTCATACTCCCAAGATGCTCAAAGAAACTTTCCTAAGGTGTCATGGTGGTTTGAGGATTATTTTGAGCTGAGGTCAACTGAGACTCTTGAAGGTTCCCAAGAATCACGCTCTTAACTTCCTAGAAAATTGAAATTGGGGAACTTTGTAGAATCTGAACTGTCCTCAGAAACTGCCTTTCTAGCTAAGAAGCCTCTCTGGTTATGTGGCAGGGCAGAGAGCTTATTATCGTGGAGCTGTTCATCTTAGCTCTGAGCAACCGTTTCCTCAGCACAAGCTCCTCATCACCCAACTTGAAACCAAGGGTCTCTTCAGATCAGACAAATATATATTCACATCCCACCCCTCATTGACTTTGAAATCTATACCCATATAGATTCTCCAGATGTATATAATTAAATTTGTGCTCCCTGCTCCCCCCCCATCCCCTAATCTGTTTGATGTGAATTTGATTGTGCAGTCAGCTTGCCCAGGGGAACTTCTTCTCAGCCCCTCTTGCCCCTCTGGGCTTCTGCAGCTGGGTGGACCTTTCAAGTCTCAGGCAGAGGTGAGAAGCCTGGGGGAAGAGGCGAGAGTGCCAGAGGGTTGGAGGGGACAGAAAATAACAAGGAAGGGTTGAATGTTCTCACTTCTGTCTCCCAGGGATGAGCTTTGAGGCGGTCTTTGCTTAATGTAAATGACTAATTCAGTTCTACGGTTCCCCTGTGCTCTTTACGTTTTGCAAATGCATTTTTGCTTGTTGTGTTGTTTCCTTTTGGAAAGCCACAGTGAGATCAGAGAAGGCAATTATTTTTATTCCCGTTAAAAAAGATAGAGACAGGAAATAGAGTGGACTCAGATGTAACTTTCTTCTTCTTCATTTTTTTAAAATTTGTATTTGATAGCAAGCAGTAGGGCGTTTGCCTTAAGCATGGCCTGCCCAGTGGAGCCAGGTTCGATTCCTCCAACTTTCTCAGAGAGTTGGGCAAGCTAACTAGAGTATCTCGCCCACATGGCAAAATTTGGCAAGATACCCGTGACGCATTCGATATGCCAAACACAGTAACAAGTCTCATGATGGAGACATTACTGGGCCCACACGAGCAACTTGATGAACAATGGGAGGACAGTACTACAGTGCTACAATTTTTATTAGTGAAAACACCATGAGGTACAGTTGTAGACTTACAAATTTTTGTGCTTGTGTTTCAGTTATACAATGATCGCGTATCCATCCCTCCACCAGAGCCCATTCTCCACCACCACTGATCCCAGTATCCCTCTCACCCACCCCCCCATCTCCCCCATCCCACCCTGCCTCTGTGGCAGGGCATTCCCTTTTGTTCTCTCTCCTTTTGGGTGCTGTGGTTTGCAAAAGAGGCATTGAGTGGCAATCATGTTTGGTCTATAGTCTACTTTCAGCATGCTTCTCCCATCCTGGGAGGATCCTCCCAACACCCTTTATTTGGTGCTCCCTTCTCTATCTGAGCTGCCTTTTCCCCCTAGCGTGTGTGGCTGGCCTCCAAGCCATGGAGTAAAATTCCTGGTACTTATCTCAGCTATTATTGGGTGTTAGTCTCCTATTTTGTTACTTTATGTTCGCCAGATGAATGCAATCTTTCATGGATCAGGAGAATTAACATTGTCAAAATGGGAATACTTCTTTGTTTTTTTTAAGACTTCCTGTCTTCAGATAGTCAATGGATTTTTTAAACACCAGTTTAATACCTCAGAAATGTCTTCTTTATGTTAGTTTTGTCTTCCGATTTTTTAAATTTGACATTCACTCTTTTTTTTTCTTGGTACAAATTGTTTGCAATGGTGGATTTATTTGGCTAAAGGCAAATAGGTCTTCTGTTTCCTTTGCTCTTCCTGTGACCTTCACAGAGGGAAGGGCATGTGCGCTCACCAGCTATTTGGTGTTAAGCTGCTTTGTATCACTGAGTTGGAATGATTCCTAACCAGTTTAGCCAGATGTGGAACTAACGGTCCTAACTTGGTCACTCACTCGGTCCCAATCCCCAGGCTACATGCCAGCACAAGAGGATGGGCCACAGCTTAGTAATTGCAGCAGCAATTTCCTTAAAGTGAAGGAACTCGGAACAGACCTCTGTGTAAATTAGAGAGGCATAGTGTTCCTATCTGTCGAGAGAATTCCAGAGATACTTATTTCATTTGCACCAAATTTTATCTGCCATGAAGTAGATTTCCAAGTTCATGACGTGTGTGATGGAGCATCTCCCTTTGGAGATATACTGCTGGGTCCAACATCAACAGCATACGGGCAATTGAAAGCCATTCGAATGTGGCAGGATTCATCCTTTCTCTGTTTGGGTCAGGGTTTGGGGTGGGAGATTGACCAGCTCTTCTGATAGAAACTGAAGGAGTTCACTGGAGAAGGTGGTAAACGCAAACATACAGCTATGATCAGAATGTAGTTAAGCAGAGAGCAAAAAAAGCTTGAAACACCATGTGGGTCTTGAATGCTTGCTGTTACAAGCTTGATATGTGGGGTAGAAAGATAAAGCTTGGTGCCATTTTTAGGCAGGGAGATCATTTGTAAGATCAGAAATGGAGGGAAGCAGGCAAGGAGAAGGTAGGCACAATGGGGGTGGTATATTAGGACAGAAATCTGGCGAAATACATTGGGATAGATTGCAAAGGGTCAGGTATATAGAGTTCATTTTGCATTTTGGTTTTTTCCATAAAAGCTTTTCTTTTTTAGTCATCTTGTGTTGAGGACATAATGGACCAGAGGTACAGGCCATTATAATGGCTCAGAAAGAAGAAAGTCATGCTTTTGAGCTAAGGTGGTCGCCATTCAAACAGATGACACATTTTGGTTAGGAACTCTGATATTTAGCAGAAATGAAGTTTGATTGAAATTTGTTGACAGCTGTGGGAAGGGGAAATAGGAACATAGCTTTTAGTAGGAAAATGAATGAACATGAAGTTGGCTTGGACATTTTGTTTGCCAAGTTCCAAGTCTTAGAGTAATGATACATTGGAAATGTGAGAGAAAAACGGTCATATTAAACAAGAAGATACTCAGTGCTGCTGATGTGGCCTCTTGCCAGGAAGAGTGAATCATTTAGGTGTTTGGTTAAAAGCCTCCTTACCAGAAGACACTCCCAGATACAGAATCACAGCTTCATCTATCCTATTCACTTAACCAGTCACCAGTTTTACTTATCATCATAGCACTTACTACCACCTGATGTAATATCAGTATACTTATTTATTTCTCACTGCACCAGAAAGTCAAGATTGGAAGAGAAGAGAAGAGAGTATTTTATTGTCTGTGCACTCTAAGATCCTGGAATAATGCCTGACATAGAGGAGACAATGACAAATATTTGATGACTGTTGAGTGAAGGTTTGCCAGTCAGTGACTACTTTTTTTCCACCACATAATTGAAGCAGTGAAGTTTATAAGTCTGGAGATTCTAACTGATACCACAAAGCAATGTTTCACCTGCCTGGGGTTGTGTCGTATAATATCATATACCATTCCTTCCACTTAATCTGTTCTCTTCTCCCAAACCTGAATATCAGTGCATTTCTTAGTTTTCACTAACAACACACTTCCTTCCCAATTTCCTCAGCTCAGAAACTTAATTTTTGTCTTTTAATTATTTTTGTGCCCTTAGTTGGATGATATATTTTTTGTTTCTCTGTTTCAGATATTCTTTTTGGATTGAAACTTCTCCATTGCTAGACCATTTTCTCCTGGAGCATTTTCTGAGATTTTTTTTTTTTTTTTGCTTTGAGTTTTCAGATCTTTATTAGGGAACAATTAGCCATTCTCGCATTAAACATGTTTTAAATACTGTTCATATTTTTCTTACAAGTTGCAGAAGTAACAGTAATACTTTATATCTTTTTATAAGAATATTCCCCAAATGTTTTTATTCAAAGTTAGTAACCCTTTGTTGTGTGGAAGAGTAGCTTGAATTTTTTCAGCTAAAATTCTAAAGTGTTAACCAACTTACTCTCTATACCTCATGAAATAATCTTAAAACACCACTGAAGTCTCTCACAATACATGCTACTTTAAATTTTTATGGATATATTTATTTTTCAATATGTAAAGAAGCATAATGTAAGGTTTGAATTCATTAATTGTTAGCAGGTAAGTGTAGTTTTGTAGTATAGATCTTCAAATGTAATCTTAATTACTATCTGACTAATTAAAAGCCTGTGATTTGATTAAAAAACACTTCAGTAATTCTATGTGAATCTCAGAAATCTGTTAGCAAATTAGTCTTACTGGGCTGCAAATGAATGTCATATTTCACCCAGAATTTGTCATAAATTTGGGATGTGGTAAGATGGGGTGAGGGAAGATGTTCTAAGAAATTGAGAAAACAGACACATACAGAAGTAACTATTATCAAAACATAATCAGCACCACAAAACAGATATCAAAAAAGAGACCTCATGTGCTACTAGTGGAATTAACCTAGTTCTCAATTCATAGTCTAGTACATAGCTGGACGGGATCCACTGGTAGATGTGGATCTAGTATTCCTAGTATGATGCAAATATTGAAATACATTGCATTCTTGTGTTTTATGCTAAGAGCCAGACAAGAAGAACAAAACTAAAAGACAAAAATCTAACAAGTATCAATTCAGTTAAACGACAAAGCATCCCCTCCAAAAGAAGGCACTCACCTAGCAAATGCAGAAACAAGCACACATAAATCAGTTTGTTTTTTTCTCCACAGACATCAGCAAACCATCCTGCGAGCAAAGGGGTAAGAATGGAAGTCCCAATGAAAGACAAGTTCAAAATGGCTGCCTCAGCGTTGCCATGACCAAGCTTGACAGTGCAAAAGGGGATCATATTGCAGACGATTCCAAAGAAGGTGAACCTCTCACACAGCTCCACCAGAAGAAAACAGATTCCAGTCCAGAGATTTTTCACAGAACAGGCTGAAGAGAAACAACTGGTTGGTCCTATGGGTTTTATGGTTCTCATTGCTGTGACTTGGTGGTATTTTCTCTTTAGCTATTTTAAAGTCTGTAACAGTCATCACTATCCTTCTTGAATGCAATATATGGTAGTGGTTTGAACTTGGTGGATTTTATCCCTACCCCTCTAATGAAAAAAAGTAAGTATTATCTTTGCTTTGAATTTCCCAACTCCATGTTAAAGTTTCACAAGGATTTTTCCACATCAACGTTGTTCATTTTGATGACCCAGGCGCACGAGCGAGGAGACAGGAGTATTTGGAAGTCCATGGCAGCCCAGTGGAGCTGAATCTGATTTGTTTGCCTAATTATTTACAGGCTAAATTAGGCTCTTCCTCCAAAATTAGACTGAATTACATGATTCCAGTTGCATGCGTGCAGAATCTCATCTGCCTCACACAGATAAAGGCTTAAATACTGGGGCAGGAGAAGCCGTTTTTCAGGAGAATTTGAGCACTAGATCAAGAAATAATTTGAGTCTAATAATTTCTGATCCTTTAATTAAACAAGCCAGAACAGTAGCAAGAGATAAAGCATGAAAGGAAATCTGTTTTGAGGGGGCAGGATACCTTATCATTATTACATTTCTTGTTATTTTTGGTTGGAATTCTGATAAGAAAGCTAATTAGGTAACAGAAGTGCTGGTACATTTAGGTAACAAGCAGAGTTTGCAAGAAAGTAATTTAAGTGCACTAATGAAAGGAGAAAATATTAAACAAAAACCTTCTTCCTTTAAGTTGACCCCATGCTTGTAGAACAGCCTCTCGGAGGAAATCAGAATCAAAAGGTGCTATTTGACTCCTTATTATTCGTCAGCAGCAAGGGCCAAGCAGCGGCCCCACATATGCTTTGGGGAATACTGGATCCGACACAACCTGACCCTCCAGCTGGGTGAATGGATGCTAGCCTTCTATTTTGGAAGGCAGGAGGGCACCAATTAAGCTAAAAAAGCTGCAGTCAAAAGGAACATTTTAACATTTAGGGGGTTAGCTACAAGGACTAAAGAAGACAAGGGAACAGAACTATTGGGTCAAAGTCACAACAACTTGGCACATCGGGAGTGCGTTTGTTATTTGCATGGGGAGTCAAAAGCAAGAGACTGATAAGGGCTTTTTTTCTCAAATTCTTATCCTGTGACCAGAGACACTGGATGCCAGATCAGTCTGCCTTGACCCTTCCTTCCAGTCTCGAGGAAATGGCAGCGATTTTCATCTGTTCTGCTTGACTTCCCCACACTCTTTGGGGACAATGCCCTAGTTTTCCTTTGTGTTGCGTGATCAGGCAATTGATAGAATCCAAACTTGGAGATGTTCGTGAATGAAAGGGATGCTATTTAGAGTTATTCTGAAGAACAGATATCAAATGGGACAGTCTGGGGCAAACTCCCAACATGTGGTCACCTTCCCTTTGGGAAATGACCCCCACCTACTACATGAGTGTGGGAGCATCTTTCCTCTGTCCTAGGGGACCAGAGCATGATCAAAGAGAGGAGTTTTAGCTTTCCTCCCCAGAACTTTTGGTCAAAGTGCGGATGACTCAAGGTTACATGTGGTAGAAGCGAAGTCGTTCAGATGGCGGAATCTCCCCTAAAATTACCCTGGTGGAACCACTAAGTAAATGACAATTGGAGGGTTCACCCGGGATGGGAGATGTATGCTGAAAGTAGACCAAGGACCATACATGATGGCCTCATAGTATCTGTATTGCAAATCAGTGACCCAAATTAGAGAGAGAGTAAGAAGGCAGGGAGTGGGGTGGGGTGGGGTGAAGGTGGCAGGTGGGACACTGGGAACAATGGTGGTGGAAAATGTGCACTGGTGGAGGGATGAGTGCTCGTGCATTGTGTGACTGAAACATAATCATGCAAGTTTGTAACTGTATCTCATGGTTATCCAATAAAACTTCTTAAAATTAACCAACATTTTTCTTTTTAAAAAATTGCCCTTGGGGACCAGAGTGATAGCACAGCAGGTAGGGCATTTCCCTTGCATGCAATTGACTGGGGTTTGATTCCCAGCATCCCATATGATTCCCTGAGCACCACCAGGAGTAATTCCTGAGTGCATGAGCTAGGAGTAAGCCCTGTGCAATGCTGGGTGTGGCCCAAAAAGAAAAAAAAATTCCCTTGTGGCTCTGATGGAGAAGGCAGTGTTTACCCAGTTCTTATCCTTCGCAGGGCAAGTTGCTTGGAGGGCATGTAGTGTTGGAGATAAAAACTAGGGTCAATCCCAGGTGAGCGAGTGCCTCATCCCCTATACCGTCTCTCTGGCCCTGAACTTTTCTTTCTGCAAAGGAATCTATTTCCTATTACTTTTAGTTTGATTCAGTGAGCCTGAGTTTTCTGTGGCTTACAAAGAACTCGAAGTGACAGTTCCCCAGGTCAAGGTATCACCTTCCCCAGTGACGGTCTTCTAGATGCAATTGTGACTTACCAAGGTCTCTGTAGTGTTATTTCACAACAGGGGCCATGAAGATTGTGTTTGAATTTTGTCTCCTCTGAATTGTCTTGCCCAATAACAGGCACAGGTGGTGGGGACCTGTGGTTTGGGGTAGTTGCATAAACCCAAGCACTAGCATTTGTTGAATAGAGCTGAAGCAACAGGAAAACAACTCTTAAAAAACTGACTGGTGTGTCTCAATACGCAGGTTTGAGTGAGCTCAAAGGAAAAGCACTGAATTCATTGAGAAGTAATGTTGACAGGGGATATTGAATGTCATTTTCTTTTTTAACAAACTTGAGTCCTTAAGTAGACTTATGTATATTAAGTTTCATGCAACTCACCACAAACTGCAGAGAAGTTCTCGGTCCCCCACCTTCAAGAAATGATTTTTCACACCCTTTAGTTATACAAGCAATATAATTACATTGAATATGACTCAGGAAATATTAAAAATAAAAGCAAAAACAAATAATGAACATCTTAAAACAAAATCTAGCCCATGACTAATTTTTAATAATAAGTCCCACCACCATAAGAGGAAAGTGTGTGAAAATTGTTGTGTTTAATCCTGGAGCCATTTAAGCCCTTGTGTAAGAGATTACAAGTGTGTATGTTAAACCCAAACAAATGTCTGCTACTTTTGGTACATCGGGGGCTAAAGTATAAGTGGCCAAGTGCCATGTGTCACTCTCTTTGGGGAGCTATATTTCAGTCTCTGGATCTTTGCCTTAAATGAGATTATATGGTGCTCAGGAAGGGGGTGGGTAGTTTGTGGGTGTGACTGCCAAGCTACAAGAAAACTTGGAAGGAGACCCAGTCCCGTTCCGAGCAAGCTTGGAGATCTCAGTCATGGGTTCTGCATACCTGGGTTTTTCTGCAGTTTCCGTAATAGATGAGGCATGTCCGAGCCTGTGGAGAGCTGCCTTGAGCATGGCTGTGAGGTAGGGTTCTGGAAGTTTTGGGCTGCCAGGGTTCTGTTGGGGCAGGGAAGGAAACTCAACCTGCCTCCCTCCAAGCTGCCCCAGTGAAGACTGCCTGGCGCGAGGTGAGGATGTTCTATGTAGGTTACTTTAAATATATATATATATATATATATATATATATATATTCTGTTTTAAATTTGTATTGACTTAATTAGCATTTATTAAAAATGCATTGTGTACTCATAATCAAATCTTGTTTGTTTGAAAGCAGCCATAGAATCTCTTTGATTTAGATTTTAAGACATAATTTCTTATAGTAATAATAGTATGGGCTGGAGCGATAGCACAGAGGGTAGGGCGTTTGCCTTGCATGCAGCCAACCTAGGTTCGATTTCTCCACTCTTCTCAGAGAGCCCATCAAGCTACCGAGAGTATCCTGCCCACATGGTAAAGCCTGGCAAGCTACCCGTGGCATATTCGATATGCCAAGCAATAACAAGTCTCACAATGCTACAGTGCAGGATTTTACATATTTGTTACTACATATAGTTACTGATGTGCATTTTCGGTCTCTTTTCTAGGTAGTCTTATAAACACCTTAAGATACTATTATTACTGATTCCCTGTAAACTCATGTTTATAATGGCATTGAGAGGAACTTGTTTACTTAGCTACTATTTAGTTAGGTATATAGATATATATTTGCTTCAAATAAGTTGTAAAGAAGACTTTTAAAACTTTTGGTGGTGAACACACGTTAAAAAAATCCCTGGAGAGATAATATAGGGGTTAAAGTGGTTTTCTTGCATGTGGTAATCCCTAATTTATATCTGGTACCACACATGTTCCCTCAAACATTACTAGGAATTGATTACTGAGCTCAGGGTCAAAAGTATGCACAATTAGGCTAGGCCCTCAAACCAAAAAAGACCAATTAGTACTTATAGAAATGGTGCTTCCGGATTATATTCTTTGGTTTGTTTTTCTGAAACAATATGACTGAATTTAAATGTATGAAAGTTTTTAGGTATTTCGATACACAACGTCAAATTCTAAAACAAACATTGGGCATTTTTAAAAATTGAAAAGCCTCTGTTGGTTTTGGAACTCCAAGACTATACTTAACACTAGGATTCTTCAATGAAAAGGTAAAAGTGAAAAGATAACACATGAGGTAAGAAATTGTAGGTGCTGTGAAAAGTATTTTATTTACAAAAAATTAGACAGAGGTGTATTCAATAGACTAACAATAGTCTGTGTTTTTTACTGAGCCTTGAGTATATTAATGGATCAGATCTATCTGGGTTACATTGGCAATAAACCAGAAATGCATATCCTGGTCTTAAATATATATCTCTTGTCCTTACAACACTATTTTTTGTTTGTATTACTTTGGGGGGATGCACACCCAAAGGTGCTCAGGGCTAGCTCTGTGCCCGGGGATTATTCCTAACAGGGCTCCTGAGAATTTATGGGATGCCAAGATATGAACATGTGTTGATTGCATGCAAAGCAAATGCCCTATCCCCCTGCATTATCTCTCAGGCTCAAGAACATTATTTTTAAGTCGATATAGCTAAAACTACATTTCTATGCAGTGTCTCTAAGTTGATTATGAATTTTCAGAGAACTAGTATCTTCTA